CCCTGAACTCATTAATTGGTCATTCAAGAAAAATACTTGAACAGTTTTCAAGTATTAAACTACTAATAAATGACTCATACATTTATTTCCACCAGTCATTACTTATTCTCGTAAATTTGTGCCTTAATCAGAACAGATAATTTTGTTAAAAATCGCATTCTCCCAAATTGCTGGACTACAATGCCGGCCCCCCTCCCCATGTGGGCTGCAAACATTTGTAGCACCATTGAACCCAGGAAAAGTTACCGGCTGGTGGTGGTACTAGAGTTGGTTTAATTTAAACAAACGGCTCGACCTCGCGCGCGACAACAAGCATGATTTGCACGCGTGGCGCATTCCAATGTTCAAGCAGCTACAACGTGACACAATTCAGCCAACCAGAGTACAGGAATCCGCAAAGTTAAAGTTGCAAACTTTTGATCGGCCCGAAAGGGGACTTTTCTGGAGATTTTGAGATAACTCAACAATTACGTTGTCTTGAATTTTCCTCCTGGAAAGGTAACGTTACTTTTAAAAAAGGAACATGTTACAAAAAACCGAAAGTCTCCAACTCTTTTACTTTCAAAGTTAAGCCCCATCCGGTCAGGGTTCCTGGGTAAGTAAAAAGTTACTGGCCGGCGCTTGTAGCGCGATGCGTTACTGTGCCGCGCCGCGCACTCAATGAGGCTTCTCACAGCTACTGTGCCGCGCCGAGCTGAGATGAATTGACATCGTCAATTAAGCCGGCGCTTAAAGTTACAGCTTACTCTTAGCCTGTCAATGAAACAATAAGTTTTCAATGAAACAATAAGTTTTATTTTACATTTCTTTAATCATAAATAAAATAAGAGCTTAAACCACGAATTAGTTAACTAGGAGTAAACTTGAGGAAATATTTTTTGGTGATTGTATATAATTATTTTTAAAACTTTATTTGTATTGGTTGTTAGTATTTTTATTATGGCAAGTGGTCGAATTTAGTAAGACAAGGTCAGTTTCTCTATTGTCTTAGAAAAATTTCTACTTTACTGCAGTAGGCAATGCTGAATGGCAGGAATGAGGGACCAAAACGCCTGGGGCTAACAATGGCCCATGCCATTTCGCCAGAACTTCAAACAAATCGACAATGATAATAACAAATATGATTATGAATCAATTATTCGACCAAAACTCATAATCATGGGTAGAGTGGACCGCTGCCAGTGTCTCTCCCTTCCCAAAAAAAAGGAAATGATATTAATTTGAAATTGAATAACCGTCCACAAATGCAAAATGATACCGAGAATGAAATCAGACGCTCGCTTTTCCCATTCATATACAATTGTAATATATTAAAAAGAACTACTATACCCGAAGGCAGCGCTGTACCCACTATCAATGAGAAGTCTTGCCTTGGTGACTTCGTGGGATAAAGATTCAATAAACATCAGCTAATTGGACACTTACTACCGGCCACCCTTATCCCGAAATACTAGGTATCGACCCGAAAGCAACCCAAAGAGACGTTTTCAGCATGAGATTTATGTAATTTATCGAAACTTATTAAAATCCGTAAGCCGTATATTGTCGTATATTTGAAATTGTTGTAAAACATTACGTTTCGTTGGTTTAAATAGGGCATGTATTGAAGATATTTAATATTACCGTGATAAAGGGGTGCAGTGCATATATTTTATCCGTATACGAAAAACACGTGCTAACTAAAAGAATTGAATTAATGAAAATAAAGAGATTTCGAATAATTTTGATAACAATGAACCATTTCTGTTATCAACAACCTACAGCAGGGTGCATGTTTGAAATTGTGTATTTTATGCCTTTATGGTGAAATCAATATTTTTCAACGAGTCATTATAATTCTTTACTTCTGAATATCGAAATTACAAAATTCAAAAACTGGTCTGTAGACGATCGTTTGAATTTTATTTTAGTTTCAGAATTTTGTGTTGATGTACTTCACAGCCCATAATTTAAGGCCGATATTGAAAGGGTTAATTCCAAACTTAGTTAGATTTATGAAGGAGTAAAGGATTTATCAGTAATGTTTTTCGGTGAATTTTTCTCCGAAATTGTTATCGGTGTAAATTATCATTTTTAATTAGGAAATTAATTTTATTTTGTATTAGAGGATCAAGAAATACCTCAAACAAAAATTACGAATTATCTAACATGGATGATTTAGAATTTAACTCTTTCGAATCGATAGTCAACTAACTTTCAGTCCCATGGACTGGGTTTTATTTTTGCAATGATGATGTTCATAATATATAATCTGTAATTTTACCAAAACCCATAATCATGGGTAGAGTGGACCGCTGCCAGTGTCTCTCTTTCCCAAACAAAAGGAAATGATATTAATTTGATTGACCGTTCTCAAATGCAAAATGATACCGAGAATGAAATCGGTCGCTCGCTTTTCCCATTCATTCACGGCTTACGAATTGTAATAAGTTTCGATTGATTACATCAATCAGATGCTGTAAAAATCTCTTTGGGTTGCGTTCGGGTCGATACCTAGTATTTCGGGGTAAGAGTGGTAGTTATTACTTATTGAATTAGCTGAAGTTTATTGAATTTTTATTGCCGAGTACAGCTGCCTTCGGGTAGTTCTTCTTAATCTATTACAATTGTAAATGAATGGGAAAAGCGAGCGACCGATTTCATTCTCGGTATCATTTTGCATTTGAGAACGGTCAATCAAATTAATATCATTTCCTTTTGTTTGGGAAAGAGAGACACTGGCAGCGGTCCACTCTACCCATGATTATGGGTTTTGGTAAAATATCATCTCTTTTTGATTATAATGTCAGGGTACTTTATAAAGTCGAAATTTAAACTGATATCTTCATTAATAAGGAGGAAGTTTCAACGATTTCGAAATTTTTCCTTTAAAAACATCTCCTTGTGTTTAGGTAAGCATATCGGTCGATCACTGACTGAATATGCCACTTAATACTCATTCAAGTTGGCATTAAATTCATATATAATTACATCAAACTGTCGTGGCAAAGCAGAATTTGTTGGAAATCACGAATGAGCAAAATTCTCACCTTTCGCACGTGCAAACTTTGAGCGGACGTTGCGTGCGCATCCAAAATTGAATCGCCGTAAATTTTTGCATGTAATTGTTTTATATATAGCTTGATAAGCATGCAAAGTTTCAAAGTATTTCAAGAAGAGCTGTAATCACAACGGCACTCTAAAGTTGACAGAAAATGACGAAAACAGCAATTTTCAGTGATTTTAGCAATTTTCTATCAATTTGGGCGTGTCCCCACGTGTGCAACTTTTCGATTTTCAACTTTAAAACTAGCCTAATACACAATTTATACCTATAGAAAGCAGAACTGAGCTCCACAACCCAAGGCATGGCCCAACACCAGAGAATACTAAATCGCAAAATTGACGTTTTTATAAAATAATTCTTCAAAAAAGTACAAACTTCAATGACGAATATCTTTATGAAGGAGCAAGCTAGAAAAACTTTCCGGTAGATTTTCAGAATGCTTGAACAATTATCTAAGATAAAAATTTCCTCAGATTTTGAATACAATTACTTTTTAATGGTGTAAAATCATTTTTAAAAGTTATTACTTTGTCAAAAATCAAGTTTTAAAAACGGTTAACTTGATGACGTCATCAAGGGGTGTTCATGACGTCAAATAATTTGTTTATACAATGTAAACTAAAGTGTACACAATTATTTTCAAGACCTGTGGTCGGAAATGGCTGTATCTTTTATACTTTTGAATCTACGGACAATTAAATACAGGCTACAATTGACTGGCAAAGCGTCTATCCCTGAATATATATATGTATGTATATAGATATCACGACAATCTGTCGTAAAACAGGGGTTCTAGAAAACCCACTTCCCGATGCTCCTGAAACCTGAAACTTTTTTTGCAGTCGATTTGGTCAACGTCTAGACGCCCTGAAAAATTTCAGATCTCTAACTCAATTTTAACATGGTTTTTAAGGCACCTGAATATGGCGATTTTGGGTTTTTTTACCGAATTTCGTATAACAGTGCTGGCGAGTATTTTATGCAAATTTTTAAAAAATCTCAACATTACTATTTTTTATTCCTGTCATCTTTGACATCAAATTAGAATGTTTTGAACTAAAAATAAATCTGCTGAACGACTTCCGATGAGTCTTAATGCCTGAAAAACTCCTGCCGGAGGCGGCGGCCTTCGCGTGCACGAAAGAGGCTTCTAACGTGTACCAAAGGGGGTATAATAGTAAAGGGGTATAATAGTAAATGGGGTACATAGTATACCCACAATAAATGCAACGGTCGTGCTTGCCAGCACTGTGATACTATTCTGTATATATCTAATTTCGTTTTCCAAATTTCTTTAGACTAAAGTGTACAGCTCTTCAGGCGATAGCGAAATATATAGATAACTAAGCTTCTATAAAAAATCTCTTTCTCCCCTAACTGACGAAACAAAGTAGTCGAACGGACTCATCCCGGAACTCAGGGGAAGCAGCTGAAGGCTTTAAGTCAAAAAATTCAAATTTGTTTCTTTCGTCGTGGTTTTCGTCAAAATTTACCTTTTTTACAAACTTTGTTTTTAGACGAACTAAAGTATAAAATATTACCTCTCGAATGATCAAGACTGTATAGAAAATTTACCCTCAGAAGTCAAGCATTGATCAATTTTATAAGCTTGGGTAAGGACGCAAAATTGTCGACACGCCAACAATTATGACACCCTGCTGTACTACAATTTCAACTGCTCTTCACTTTCTGAAAAACACCGTACTATTATATAATAAACATAAGTTCCGTGGAACATAGTAAAAATATAACAAGCATAAGTTCCATAACTTTGATAAATGGATTCCACATGTTTTCAATTTATCAAAGTATTGAGTTTTAAAATTATACGTGCTTTAGCTATATAACTGTATTTGCTTATAAGCTGCATTTGCACGGTAAAGCGTTCATGTGATCAGCTGTAAAGTCGACATGGACTCGCAGATCTTCACAATCTCTGCATGAACCGATCAACTTATAATTTATTGTTCATATCTTGCTTGTTCATATCTTGCTTGTTCATATCTTGCTTGTTCATATCTTGCTTGTTCATATCTTGCTTGTTCATATCTTGCTTGTTCATATCTTGCTTGGTCATATCTTGCTTGTTCATATCTTGCTTGTTCATATCTTGCTTGTTCATATCTTGCTTGTTCATATCTTGCTTGTTCATATCTTGCTTGTTCATATCTTGCTTGTTCATATCTTGCTTGTTCATATCTTGCTTGTTCATATCTTGCTTGTTCATATCTTGCTTGTTAATATCTTGCTTGTTCATATCTTGCTTGTTCATATCTTGCTTGTTCATATCTTGCTTGTTCATATCTTGCTTGTTCATATCTTGCTTGTTCATATCTTGCTTGTTCATATCTTGCTTGTTCATATCTTGCTTGTTCATATCTTGCTTGTTCATATCTTGCTTGTTCATATCTTGCTTGTTCATATCTTGCTTGTTCATATCTTGCTTGTTCATATCTTGCTTGTTCATATCTTGCTTGTTCATATCTTGCTTGTTCATATCTTGCTTGTTCATATCTTGCTTGTTCATATCTTGCTTGTTCATATCTTGCTTGTTCATATCTTGCTTGTTCATATCTTGCTTGTTCATATCTTGCTTGTTCATATCTTGCTTGTTCATATCTTGCTTGTTCATATCTTGCTTGTTCATATCTTGCTTGTTCATATCTTGCTTGTTCATATCTTGCTTGTTCATATCTTGCTTGTTCATATCTTGCTTGTTCATATCTTGCTTGTTCATATCTTGCTTGTTCATATCTTGCTTGTTCATATCTTGCTTGTTCATATCTTGCTTGTTCATATCTTGCTTGTTCATATCTTGCTTGTTCATATCTTGCTTGTTCATATCTTGCTTGTTCATATCTTGCTTGTTCATATCTTGCTTGTTCATATCTTGCTTGTTCATATCTTGCTTGTTCATATCTTGCTTGTTCATATCTTGCTTGATGAAGGCCAGCAATGATCACGTGAGCATTAAATTATTGGAAGTTGCAAAAGTGCTTGAAGAAAAATGTCGCATTATATCAAGGGATGGAGTTAAAGAACTGCAGGCCGGGTAAGTGCTTGGATGGTTGACCACCTGGGAATTCCTGCTCGAATGTAGTACGTGCAATTTAATAATTGTTGAAAAATGGCTGTTGTTCGATCTGAGAAGTTAACTGCAACTGCAGGCCAGGTTATAGACTATCCTGATTTCTGTTGTAGGTGAAATTCTTAACTTTCTTAATTCAATTAATAACTATGAATCGACGGAAATTTGCCTTGTGTCACAGCGAAGATATGTGTTTTTCGATCTAGAATAAGATTCGGAACATCATTCAAGAATTCAGGAGACATGTACCTTAGATATTAGATTATGAAAATATTTAGAATAAATTTATCAAAGAATTGGATTAATGACCAGGAAACTTATGCTTTATAGTACGCTGTTTTTTATTAAGTAGAGAGCAGTTGGAATGGTTGTTACCTGGAAAATTAGATTTGCAATCTGCAGGGGAGGGTTTTGCAAATATTATTCAACCCCCAGACTATAGACTATCCTGATTTCTGTTGTAGGTGAAATTCTTAACTTTCTTAATGCAGTTAATAACTATATGAATCAACGGAAATTTGCCCAGCGAAGGTATGTGTTTTTCGATCTAGGATAAGATTTGGAACATCATTCAAGAATTCAGGAGACATGTACCTGACTCGAACCATTTCAAAGCAATGCCACGAATACCGTAATGCTCAAGTTTCCTGAGTAATGTCGCGTGATCTAAGACGTCAAATGCCTTGCTATAGTCTAATAGTAATAGAAGTGCTATTAATTGGTTCTTATTTAGAGAATGCAGAATAGAGCTCTGAGCATTGAGAAGTGCGTGATCACATGATCTTCCTGGTCGGAATCCGTACTGATTCTCGAATAGTGAGTTATTCTTGTCGAGAAATTCTAATACGCGTCTGGTACGTTACGGCACCACGTGAAGCCATATTCAGACAGTTACATAAGGTAACTCAGTAAGAGTAACTCAGTAAGGCCAAGGGAAACCCCAGGATATTCACCCAGAATATTGCAGCCACCTAATATGATTTTATACCACTAAGGCAGTTTTCCCATATAGGAGACCCTGTGAACTAAAAGGCTAGTCAGTGGATGTGATCGTCAGATAGGCTGACCATTTTCTATAACTATAAGGGCGATCAACAGCTTAAATTAATGTAGAAGCGAGGACAAGGGAAGTAAACCAACTAAACACACCGTTAAACAATAACCCATCACCCACCCCCCCCCCCCCCCCCTATATACCCCTTAATATAATAATGGTACATCACGTGGCGCAGTTTTCGGCCAATCGTAATCACGCGTTTGCGAGTGAGTACCCACTTTGAGTGTCGCGGAAGGAGTATAGAGAAGCCAGGAGTGTTCCGCAGAAATAATATTAAGAGGAGCAAGGATCTAAAAGGAACTTTTAATCGAATTCTACAATCAAAAGGTCGTATGTGATCTGCCTTGAGTGAGTCACAGCAAAGGTATGTGTTTATTACCTGTACAATTAGATAACCAGTCTGTAGGACTAGGACTCTAGTTTCTTGGACTATCCTGATTTCTGTTGCTGGTGAAAATGCAGTTAATAACTATATGAATCAACGGAAATTTGCCCAGCGAAGGTATGTGTTTTTCGATCTAGGAAAAGATTTGGAACATCATTCAAGAATTCAGGAGATATGTACTTTGCTCCAGTGGCGTAACGTTGCCTGTTGGCGCCCCCGCCGAAAAAGCGCCCCCCTGTTGGCGCCCCCTCCCCTTTTGGTGCCCCTCCCTAAAATTTTGCTAGTACTTTAGTTAAGTTTTTCGAAATTGTCCCACATTCAAACGACGATTTGGCGCGATTTGCATTGACAGTCGAATCGGGCTTCCAATGACCGATTGGCGCAGTTTTCGGCCAATCGTAATCACGCGTTCCCGATTGAGTACCCACTTTGAGTTCCGCGGAAGGAGTATAGAGAAGCCAGGAGTGTTCCGCAGAAATAATATTAAGAGGAGCAAGGATCTCAAAAGAACTTTTAATCGAATTCTACAATCAAAAGGTCGTATGTGATCTGCCTTGAGTGAGTCACAGCAAAGGTATGTGTTTATTACCTGTACAATTAGATAACCAGTCTGTAGGACTAGGACGTACTCTAGTTTCTTGGACTATCCTGATTTCTGTTGCTGGTGAAAATGCAGTTAATAACTATATGAATCAACGGAAATTTGCCCAGCGAAGGTATTTGTAGCGCGATGCACTACTGGGTCGCGCGCGCGCATCCAATAATGCTTCTCTTATATGCAAATCGGCATATAGTCAAGGATTGACATCGTGAATCAAAAGGAAAATTATTTTCAAAATTTTTCAATCTGAACAAATTAATTTATTGAAAAATTTGGTGCTTCAAATATTATAATCTTGGTACCAATGCAAAAGTTGCGTCTGACTAAGCTCATTACGATATACTGTAATAATTATTTCAAAATATTCAATATTTTAGGAGTTATAGGCATTTTAAGCAATAAATTACCCATTTTTCGTCCTTTGTACATTCTTGTAATGCACAGGAGGCCCACATACAGCTCGACGTTATTTTGCTACACGGTGAATTTGTTGTAGGTTTACAACCTACCAGGACGCGCGCCGAGTTGGACTCGTTGACGCGATCCAATATATGGAACAGATACTTTACGAGTATCACCCGTTAATGAATTTGCATTATTTACACTTAAAGGCAACTTTTGAAACCAAATTTATCAAAATCAGAGACAAAAAATTCTGTGCCAACTCATGGCGCTTATTACATAGACTACTAAGACGGCGCTGTCGGGGATATGTAATGATTGGTTTTTAGTTGTCGGAGCTGATTGGATTTCCCAAGCTAGCATGTTAATTAGTTAACTACGTAAAATTGACAGGTTCTTAGTTGTCCGTCAGGGGAACTCCTTGGGCTGCATGAACGGGCTCCGGGAAAAGTAGTAAATACACATACACCTGGCCACCAATCACCTAGGTGCGACCTCCCCGGGCTGAACGGCCCCCGGGGACCTCCCGGGCTAAACGGCCCCTGGGAACTCCCCGGGCTGAACAGGCCCCGGGGTACCCCCAGACTGAAAAGCCCCCGGGGACCTCCCCGGGCTTAATGGCCCCTGGGAACTCCCCAGACTGAACAGCCCCCGGGGACCTCCTTCAAATATCAGATATCTGGCAAAATGTATGTTATTGTGGGTGGGTTAAGCTTATGATTCATGCCATTGGACCTGGTGAGTGGTGATGACGAGCAAGCATTTGAAACGATACTACGTGAAATTGAGATATATAAGAATATCTTCGCTATGTTATATAATCTTTTCGAGAATATTGGTCTTGACGTCCATTTAAATTGTTAATAGTGATATCATTTGTCTTTATCAGTGTGCGGAGTATTATCACAGCTTATGGTTCAGACAAAAGGACAATTAAACTGGTGTTTTGTTTTTAACGGGTGATACTCGTAAAATATTTGTTCCAAATATTGCCTTCGACGAGTTTAACTCGGCGCACGTCCTGGTAGGTTATAAACCTACAATTTTGTTTTAGTTTGTCTACCGCGTAACTATACTTGAACCCTTTAAGTAATAAGTTGAACTACAGGATCGAGATGTTGATTGTATCGATAAAACATGGATTTTGAGGCATAAGGAAGCATTGTTCAGTTCTGAAACCAAGTTTAATCGATTTCTCGTGCGATTTTAGGTCAGGAATGGTCATCAAAATAAATTTAAAACAATGACGATATTTTGGTAAATTTCTAGCTTTCTGCCAGAAAATAAATTTTCGGTTTCTATTACTCTAGTAGCATGGTGTAGTTGAGTGTGCACTTCGATGTGTACTATTTCTGACAACACAGGGTTGTTTGTTAGGTCATTCTAAACCAAAATCGTTTAGGTGGACAATTTGTTTCGCTAGAGGCAACCCTACAGGGCAAATTTTCTAAATTACCCTCAGTCGCGTATACGGGATTTTCGTATTTCGGCTCTTGAAGGTCATAGAGACTTAATTTTTAGCTTAAAATCACCGCAATGGCCACATTTATATACAACTTACTAATCAATATATGGTCTAAAATTGTTTGTTTCCGAGATATCTGCAAAAAACTAATTTTAAGTTCAGGCGTAGGCACAAATTTCATCAAATTTGTATCTCCGCTTCTGAAAGTCTTAGAGACTTAAACTTTGGCTTAAAATTACCGCAATGCTCATGTTTATATTGACACTATAAAGGTCATAAAGGCCCAAAATGCTTACTTTTGGAATAAATCCAGAAAAAAATGATTTTCACTGTACTGGGGAAGTGAAAAAAATCTACTCTAGAAGCTAATTGAAATCGAGTATGCAGTTTGGTGTCTACAACTTTTCTAGAAACCAGGTCCTTTGTAAGGTCATTCTGGATCAGAATTGATAAGGTATGCAATTTCTATCAGTAGTTCCAACCCTAGGGGGGAAATTTCTAAATTACCCTCAGGCGCAAATATATGACTTTTGTATCTCGGCTTCTGAACGTTGTAGGGGCCTCTCTTTTAGGGGCCTCTCTTTTAGCTCAAACTAACTGCAAAGGCCACATTTACATACATGCTATAAAGCAAGATAGGGTTTATAGTGCTTAGTTTTGGAGATATTCATTTAAAACTGTTTTAACTTTCGTGCATCCTAAAATAGTAACATCAAACATGTACTTAATTTTGGTATCCCGGGCTAAAAAAGTCTTACAGGCACTTTACTTGCAGCACAGCAAAAGTTCAGCATGAACACATTCAGATAAATTTATGAAGCAACACAATTCAGTTTCAGAAGCTCCTTCCAGCTATCTTGTGTTATCCCCAAATGTATACGTCTAACCATCTCTCTGGTTACTTCGAACTACTTCAATCCCCAAATTTATACAT